CAACCTCCTTATGGTTTTACCAGCTGAGACATAAAAGGCTATTTGTGGTGAGCTGCAAGTTCTGAACGCAGGTGAAAATTCCCTACTAGCTAGTTATTTGAATGATAATGAGAATAATATTTTACATAAACATGACCCATTTAACCAGGGATCTTAAAATCCTTAGGTCACTGTGGTATATCATCATTTTGACTCTGGGTGAGAAGGTTGCCTGAGAGCTTGATAAATTTTCAAATTACAAAATTCCCTTCTCTTCCTTCTAAAGTAATTTATTTTAATTAAGGTAAAAAAAAAAAGAACACCATTTGATCCTTTGAGGGCAGGATATAGGAGTATTTCTGGCTTCTGCCATTACTTCTTATCCAAATAAGGTACAATTTTCTGGATATTTTTGCAAAACAAAATGAACTCAATTCAGTAACAGACTCACCTCTGAGCTACAGGCTAATGGAAAATTTTAAATAAGCTCATAGCACCACAATAAAGAAACAAACAAACAAAACAAACTTCCTTTCACCTAGATCAAGAATGCATCAGGGTCTTTAAACAAGGGGAAACCTGGAAGAAGCAACCGAGGAAATCCAGTTTAACCATACTCCTTACAGTGGTACCGGAGTTACAAAACGTGAATTGAGAGCTTCAGGGCTAAAGATAATGAGCCAAAAACAAACCAGGGACCAGTTGTTGCCTAAAGTATTAGGCAACAGATTTTGATCAAATGAGTTGGTGATATTAACGGAAAAGTCTCCTGGGCAGGTCAGAATGAAAGGGAAATGGCTTCACTCACTTGAGCTGATCCTTAACTCATCTGTCTCGAAAAGAATACAGAAGATGAATCCTCCCAGAGTCCAGGCTCTTTCTCTCTCACTGTACAAGGGAGATGGTGAGAGGGAGTTCTGCCTGAGAAATGCCATCACCCCCAGACAGCCCCTGACTGGACCCTCACACCAGATCACTGAGTCATTGACAAGAGCAGTGGTAGAAGTGGTACCATCTCCGGGGATCTGTGCAGGGCTTGGTGTTTTTCATTGTAGCATCTGATCCGCATACCTATGGTGCAGAGAAAGCTTTTCCATCCCTGCGTCTCAGAGCAGGAATCTGAGTAATGCACACAAAGCCACACAACCAGGAAGGGGCAGAGCAGGAACTCACGCCCAGGTACGGGGAAGCTAAGTGTTGCCACCAGCCCTCCCCGCCTCACCCAGATCTCAGACTCACTGGGGCCCAGGTTCTCTGACCCTGGATTTTGCTAAGTGTGGCCACCTGATTTCCTGTGCTATAGGTCATCAAAGCATCTGCAGAGTGAATCCCTTCTCAGCAGCTTTGGATACAAACTGCAGTGGGTGGTTTAATGCCCCCAGCAGGGCAAATCTCACAGTGCTTGTGGTTTGTGGCCACCTCTGACTGGCCCACAACTTCCAGTTTATTTCAATTTGTTCCTGTTCCTTTTTTTGTCTGAGAAACAGGGTTTCACATCTTGGCCCTTTGTCCTCCTCCCTCCTGTGAAGAGCCAACTGACTGTAAAAGACTTTGATGCTGGAAAAGATTGAGGGCAAGAGAAGAAGGGGGCGACAGAAGATGAGACAGTTGGATGGCATCACCAACTCCATAGACATAGTTTGAGCAAACCCTGGGAGATAGTGAAGGACAGAGAAGGCTCACATGCTGCAGTCCATGGGATTGCAAAGAATTGGACATGACTTAGAGAATGAAAACAACAACAACCCTCTCTTTTGTTCCCAATCTGTAGCTTATCCTCATTTAAAAAACAAAACAAAACCCATGGACCTCAGTGCTCAATCCCAACGTTCTTTAGACTAAAACCCACTTATGAGCAGGTGGTTGTCACAGCAGCACTGATGGACATGTGGAGATTGCTGTAACTAACATCATCCAATAGAACCTTCCTGATGGAAATAATTACAACCTGCACTGTCTCACACAGTAGCCACTTGAAATGAGACTAGTGTGACAGAGGAATTGGATTTTTGGTTGAGTTTTAATTTCAATTTCCTCTGTCCATGGAATTGTACAGGCAAGAATACCAGAAGGGAATACCATTCCCTTCTCCAGGGGATCTTCCTGACCCAGGGACCAGACCCGGGTCTCCTATATTGCAGGCAAATTCTTTACCATCCGAGACTCCAGGGAAGCCTCTTAATTTAAGTAACTAGTGGCTACTATAGTGAATAGTATGCATAGGATGGGCATCCAAGGAATGTTGAAAGATGGCTACATTTCTGGATATCTCAGGATCTTAGGTTATGCCTGGGGCTCACATCTTACTTCTGGGAAACCCAAGGAAGGGCTAGTTCATTAGTAGGAAGTCCCCAAGGATCCAGAGTCATGCTTAAAAATAAAGACCTAGGTTGGCTTTGAACTGGACATGGGAATGGTAGAAGAAGCATGTCTGGTCTAGTTGGGACTAGAACAGTCTGTGGGATGGGAGATTAGGTCAAATTATAGAGGGAAACATGCAGGACAAAACTTTGAGCTTTTTACTTACTAGCTGAGTGATCCTGGGCAAGTTACCTACCTTCTCTGAGCCTTGAAATTCTCATCTGTGAAATAGATAATAATCTAATAATGATATAAAAATGCCTATTTGTGGATCTTCTAAATTTGATGTGAGTAAGTACACCACTGTGGATGCAAAAAGCATTTTCTAAAATGTTGCTACATACTAAGTTGCTTCACATGGCCAACTCATTGTGACCCTATGAACTGAAGCCCATCAGGATCCCCTGTCCATGGGATTCTCCAGGCAAGATACCTCTCTTTAAATAGTAATTATCGTTATTTTGGGCCAATGTCTGAAAGATCTAGGGAAGCTGTATACACACAAGGCGTATATCCTTATGTAGGATACATCCAGGTAGCCAGTGGAGCTTTGTAACCGACAGCAAGTGAACACTATGGGAAAAGGGGATGTAATATAAATGCAGGGGCATGGGGAATTTTGCCCCAGGCTCAGGGAAGGTCAGTAATATACTTGGGGTTCAGTGTGGTTAAGGTGACACATCAGGCAAGGAGACAGACAGTGAGAAAGCCCCTGGAAGTGTGGGCCCATAGGAATGTAAGCTTCCAAAGATGAAGACAGCAAAGTAGTGGCTTACATGTAGCAACCACTCAATAAATATTTGGTGAATGCATGAATAGACAAATAACTGTGGAGTGTCTTAAGTCCTCCCAACTCAATCCACTTACAGAGGGGAACGAAATAGCGGTGCCACAATGTTTGGCACAGAGCACCAGCCTTTCATGTCTGTTTCAGCTGGAATAAAGGCAAAAAACCTGAGCATTTGCTGTGTTTTTTTCAAGGGCATTTCAAATAGGCTCTTGTTTATTTCTAACTATGTAGTTTGTCTCCCTTATTATAATCTACAGTGTCTGAGGGCAGGGACAAAGTCACCTGGCTCCTAAGAGTTACCAAGGAAGGGTTTGAATTATCTTTATAAAAGAGTTATAATCTAGGAGACACTTTTCAGATGACAATCCTTTTCAATGCCAAGAAGAGGCCTCCAGACGAGCAGATGGATGACCACACCACTTCAGAGAACTCAACAGAGAAGCTGGCACTTCCGTCCAGTCACTGACCACGCCAGGCAGACGAGGAGTGACCCCAGAGAGAGAGAGGAGATGGACATCCCTCCACTCTGGCTCCAGTTTATCAGGACGGTGACTCAGCAGAACCACTCTTTCCACTAGCATAAGTGAGCACTGTGAGGCGAGGGATAGGACTGCGTTTTGCTGGCTACAGGGCCATCACAGAGCTGGGCACACAGGAGCCCTTCAATAGGCAGTTGCTTAGCACAATCTATTTGGAATATAGTTTGGTATTTTCGAGTAGGACAGGCACACCCAGGGCAGAGCAATACCACTCCTAGGACTAAATCTTTAAGAAAGTCTTGCCTAAGTGTATCAGGTTACATGTGCAAGAAAGTTCAAAGCAGCACAGTTTGTGAGAATCCCCAGATGGAAACAACCTAAGTATCTTTCGATGGGATAAAAAAAAACCAAAAAACAAAAAAACCTGTGACATATTCCCTTAGTGAAATATTGCACTGCAACAAGAATAATTGGCATAGATGAACTACAGTTGCAAGACTGGAGATATGCATTGAAAAGAGAATGAAAGTCCAGTAAAGAAAAAGCAGGCAAGAGATAGAAGAGAGAATAGACGTTTCTACAGACAGGGCAACCCTGCAATATTAGATGTTTTACTTACTGAGTTTCTTGGGCTGGGTATCTGGAAGCCTCCCAATGGTGTACAAGTTGGAAGGAAGCAATGAAGAGATATCAGTTTAGCCTTGGGCTCAATAAAGCAATGTGTAACTCTTAAAAAGAGGATTATTAGGCAAGAGGAAGATGACAAAAATTGAAAACAAAAGGTAACAGGCTTATTCCATTCCCAAAACACTTCCTAACAGCTTAATGAAAAAGAGCTTGGGAGCAAATTCACTTAGAAATGTCTGTAATCTGTCACCTATGTGAAGTTTAACTGCTTAGTTAATCTGTGAACAGTTTTATTCATAAAATGGATACTGAATTACTCTCAAGTAAATCTTTTATTAAGGATCCAATACTGAAATAGAAGTGAATCCTAATATGCCATTGATTACTCTTCTGATGCCCAAAATGGGTGGATCTGTTTGCCTTCTAGAGAGGAAGGAGGTATCCCAGAATTAATAATTCAAATAGGGCTGTTATACCAGGAGGAGAGAAAAAGAGTGTCAAGGCAGTGTTAAGAATCTGGGAAGGCTGCCAGCAGAGTTTGCATGATTAGGGTGGATAAAACATAAAGAGAAATATGGTCCAGCGAGTATTGATCTGTTTCCTTTTCATTTTTAAAGGGTGGTTTACTTTTAAACAAAATTGTGTGATTTTCTAGTTACTATAAGAACATAGATGATTCACAGATTTCTTCTAAAATCAGTTTCTGCAAGCAGCATGCTAACAATCAGAGAATTTGATTCTTATGCTCTTTTTTTTTTTTAAAGCATCTTTCATGATGGCAGAGAGTGCAGTCTGAAGATTTCCACGGGACCTTCTCATCTATGGCCACCTTGCAGAGCGTCACCTACATTGCCATATCTAAAGCCCATTAAAATTTACAAATTAAAAGCCAGTGGGAAAGAACATAATCTTGGCAACTGCCTCTTGGGAAATCTTACAACTGCAAGAGTGCCATGGAAGAGTGCTTTAAATACCATCGTGGTTCATCCAATCTCCTCACAATTGTATAGGAGGGCATGTGGCCAAGGCCTTGCAGGGAAGAGACCAGGGTGCCCAAGCTCGTGATTGGCTGGGGGCGAGTGATGCTAAGCGAGCCACTTAGCCCACTCTTGCTTCATGAGGAGCACGCCACATGCTTCTTTGCACATTCTTTTAAATCCTCGTGTGGCTGGCATTTGGAAAAATATCGACTGCAACCAGACGTGGCAATCCTGATGACAGCTCTTGAAATCCCATCTTTCTCACAGCAACATCTACTGTCAGCTCCCCACCCCTGTCACTAGAGAGCCTTCCCCACCCAAGTTGTGCTCCAAATAGAAAGAATTTCAGATGTACTTGTTCGGCTGCCTCCTCTAAAGGCCTTGACAAATACTCAGGTGGTAAATAGCCGGAGAGAAATGCTGCTGATAAAATTAGTTCAAATATTTCACAGAAAACAAACCTGACACCATCATGACACTTGATAGCTCAGCACTTCCGAACCTTTCCAAGCCCTCTTGCCTTCAAAGCCCAAATGTCTTGTTTTAAATTGCCTTTATTATTTTCCCTTTCCAAAGCCCATCCTTGCCACCTCCTTCCTTCAAAAAATAAAATAAAAAAGAACCAGATGGTTATAGGATTGTCTACCCCAGAATTTTAGATTACAAATAACTGTGTTGAAGGTTAATATCCAAGGTCAGGTGTTATTAATATCTATTTGAATTTTGTTCTTCGGGACTATGATATCATCTGAGTCACCTCATTGATTTATAACATGGTAATCCCAGACCATCATTCATATTCCTGAAATTCTATTCAGGGCTCAGTATCAAACCCTCTCTTTAATACCCTATTTGGTTTTGTCTGATCAGTAACCTTACAGCCCTTCCTCTTATCTCCTCCCCACAGGTAACACTATACCTGCTGTCCAAGATCATTTGATTGATTTTTTTCCCCTGCCATCTCCTTTTCCTACATTTTATTGCAGAAAAAGATTTAACCCCTTTCTTTTCTTTTTTTTTTTGAGAAGTATTTCCATGAGATTTCTCTCCCCAAAGCCTGTTCTCCACTTCAATTTTCTGGTAAATGGCCTCTTGAAGTTACACAGGGCTGCTAACTTGTCTGTATCCCATATGAGGCATCTATTTTCTCCTATGTAGCTGAAAGTCTTGGGCTCAAACCGCCAGCAGGAGCTGACAATCCTCAGGACTTACTATGCACATGCCACGCAAAGGGCTACAATTCTCACCTAATCTTCACAATAATTCTACGGGGTAGCTGCCATTATTTTCCTCACTCAGCAGATGAGGAAATCGAGGTTCAGGAAGGTTTCAGAAACTTACCCAGGGTCATCCAGTAATAAGTACTAAACTTGGGAACTAAGATTTCAGTCTTCTGTTTCTGAAGATTGTGCCTATTATTACTTTATAGCTACTTTCCACTAATTATGAGGACTATAACTGATGGGCAGTTTACACAATACAATTATTATACAAAAGCGGGCTCGGTGATCTTTGCAAAACACGTATTAACACTAAAATTATATCAGCATCTGGTATACTTAAAAACTTTTTTTGGTACATCTGAAAATAAAATTTATTTTTTTTTAACCATTTGCAGAGTAGCATGTGGTGATACAGAAAGTCCTTAATTAGAGGAGGGAAAAACCATCAATCTCTTTAGCAACTCAAAGACCACTATAGTTAACACCTTAATAGATATTTCTTGCCATTTTTCTATGCATAGTTTATATATTTGTGATCTTCTGTATACATAAATTTGAATCCTGTATTTCTTCATCAGTATCATAATAATCATTTCCCCAGAGGTATTTCCTAACTTTTCGGTTGCCATAGTTCCCTAACTGCAGTCAGAGACATAGTAAGATCCTGATAACACATGCTGAATCATAAGATAAAATCTAGTCATTCATTATTTTTAAGTCTTCATTGAATTTGTTACATAATTCATTCTCTTTTATGTTTGATTTTTTTGGCCATGAGGCACGTGGGATCTTAGCTTCATAACCAGGGATCAAACCCACATCTCCTACATTGGTAGGCAAAGTCTTAACCACTGGACCACTAGGGAAATCCCTAATCATTCATTATTAGTTTCATCAAGTTATTGAATTGACAATACATATGCTTATTCAAAATTTCAAATGTAGAAAAAGATGAAAAATAAAAGTCTGCCTGTCACTCTTGACTTACAAGCATACCTTCTTATACAGAGTTTGAAAGTACAAGCTCCCAATTTTCCTCCTACCTACTTCTTGGACACGTATATCTGGATAATTCAGTTCCTTAAATTCTGGACTCAAGAAATCAAAGTCCAAAGACATATTTTTCCTCTAGCAAAGGTCCATCTTCTGAGTTTTTGTCTTTTGTCCTGGAATTTTAGGTCTTCAGGTTAGTGACAGGCCCTTCCAAAGAGCCATACTTACAGACTCAGTAAATAATCATAATCATAATCATAATCCCATACACACATAATTCTCACATTTTAAAGAGATGCACACATAAAGGACAAGGAAAGAGTTTCATAGAGTAAAACACAAGATTCCACTAGGAAACAAAAGGAGCCTTAAAATTTCTCTTTGCTACAGATCAGTGCGTGACGTTCAGTATAACAGATGTTGGTGTTTCCGTATTCATGCATTTACTGTATTGTTCAGGCAAAGGACCAGCACAGGAGAAGGCAAGCTTGGAGATCTGAGATGAATGTTTTCTAGTGTAGAGATTCTCAAAGTCTGTTCTATAGGATACTAGTATCTTGGGATGTTATTAGATGTTCCACAGAAATGGGAGATTTCCACAGATCAGTAAGTATAGATATTTTTAAAAGGAGAAAATGAAGGATGAAATTGACCAAATAACACTTTCTAAAGACTAGAACCCCAGAGAACACACTTTGGGAAAGGATGTGCCATTCTGGCAGCTTTGGCACTAAATAGGTATATGTTTTGGGATTAGGTCACTAAATTATTCATTACTGTTTGGCTCAGCTTACTTAGGTAACCATTTAATTATATTCTCACAGAAAATAAGTTTTTACAACCATTTTGCCAATAACTATTAGAAAGAGATCTTGAAGACTTCTGTAATCTTGAGTTCAGACCTGTGTTCTTTTCAATACGGCTACATCGTTTACAGTGGTGAGCATGATGACACATTCCTCCAGTATTCTTGCCTGCGAAATCCAATGGACAGAGGAGTCTGGCAGGCTACAGTCCATGGGGTTGCAAAGAGTCAGACACACATGAGCACGCATGCACCACTGAAATACTATTACTAGGCAAAATGAGGCTCAAGTGTTTTCATTGGAAATATAAACTAGAAAACAAAAAACTTTTAATGAAGAATAATCTTAAAAATAAAAGGTAAGCTATAGCTTGCAAATACATATAACCAACACACCATTAATATCCAGAAAACAGACAATCATTGAAAATCAGTAAGAAGAAACAATTCAATGGAAAAATGAGCAAAGGACAGAAACAGCCAATTCACAAACCACAAACATATGCCAATAAACATATGAAATGACTGCCTGCTTTATCAAGAAAATGCAAATTAAAACAAGATATCATTTCATGTCTACGAGACTGGCAAAAAAATTTCAAATCTTGCAACGCAGGCATGTAGATTGGTACAGTTATTTCAGAGAATAATTTAGCAATAATTATTGACTAAAATGTGCTGACTCTAAAATGCAGGACTTTGACATCTAGGTACATTTCACGTTTCACGTTTTAGGGGGCAGTGTTTACCAACCCCCTTTCCATCATGGCAAGTTAGAGAATGATGATATTCATATAACACACTGCAGGTAATCTGACGGGGGGAGGGGGTTGCTCACAGCAGGAGGTGACCCATCCAGGGGTCTGTGCTCCCCTTAGGTCCCACTTGGCTTCCCTGAGGGCTCAGGGACCCCAGATCTCCTACTCAACTGTGAAGCACTGCTGTACCACATTGGCTGGAAAGCTCTGCCCTAGAGAAGTATACTCAAAGAGATATGTACAAAGATGTCCACCATAGAGATTTTATTATACCCAAACCAAAACAAAACAAAGTGGCTACAACAGCTTAAAAGCTCATCAGTAGGGAAGTGAATAAATAAATTTTGTTATACAAGGGAATACCATATAGCAGGTAAAATTCACGAACTTGACTACAGGGATAAGTTGCAAAACTGTCATGTTGAGTAAGGAAAGCAAAATGCAAAAGGATCCATATACTATATATCAAAATATATGCATGAACAATTGTAAGACAGTCAAAACTGTACATACTCACATACTTATTAGGTAAAGATATGAAAATATGCATGGGCAGGGTATCACCACCTCCAGGGTAGCGAATGCCCTTGGGAAAGGACAGATGGCAATGGGATTTGAAAGTGAGTGAAGGACTCAAAGGATATGTGTGTCGTCCTATATCTTAAGAAACAAAAGCAAATGAAGCAAATGTGACTAAAAGTTATGTGTTAAATCTAAGTAGTAAATACATAGGCTTCTAATATATTTTCACTGTATTTTTTGTGCATTTAAAATACCTCAAAAAAAAATTTTTCTTTTTAAGCTAGATCAATGGTTCCAAACCTGGAAGCATATTAAAATTACTGAGGAGTTTAAAAAATTTCCCATGCTAGGACCACATCACAGATCTACTAAGCCAGAAACTTAAGATGTGGAGCCTGGGCATCAGTATTATTGAAAACTTCCCCAGTTACTCCAATGTGCAGCCCAGAGTTCAGAATCACTGAATTAGATGATCTCAAAAGTTTCTTTCAAATAATATTCTCTAAGTATTTTAATTGTACTGTTTCTTCATATGGTTTCAAGTGAACACAACTGAGTGAAAAGCCAGGCTCTGTTAATATTCACTGAGACTTCTCCTTCTATCATAACCAGTTATCTTTTATGGCTGCTTGTGCCTCTTTTGTTTTCTAGAACCACATGTTACTCCTCTCCCATTTAGTCTGTTCATCTCTCCCCCTTTCTCCTACCACCTTCCTGAGTCCATCCCAACAGGCAATTGATCCAAGCACCACAAACTTAAGGCTTTGAGTCATTCATATGCATTGCTTTTGAACATATTAAATAGATCCATATGCTTATCTACAGTAAGATAGAGGTTTTTCCTTCAGAAAATAGAATACAAAAAAATCATTCCAATGTGTACACTTAAAAAAATTTTAAATAGGCATCTAAAATGAAGCAGAAATTAAAAGTAACTTGGGCCAGAATTTTGAACATTAAAACATTACAGCAAATTGGTAAAACATACACCAAATATATATGTCTACTTTATATCCAAAAAAGTTACTCTTTCCCTGCCACATACACAGAGACAGCTCTCATAATGGCTCCACTTCAGTCAGAGTTGGATCACGAGTATAACAGTAACGAAAGTGGCCTTTTCCAACATTTCTACCCCTAAAGACTCTTTATTATCCTCTCCAACTTCAGAAATTCCTATGAAGTCATCATCAGCCAATCAGTTTCAAATGGTTTGAAACAACTCATGTAGTCAGCCACACTGAGTTGATACAGAATCAAAGAAATGTGACATTCTCCTTAGCCTGGGCAGTTGTGTCATGGTTAAACGTATGATTTCCATTAGATTTCCCAAAATGTGGAAAAATCGCTTTCAGACCCTCAACACTACCTCCAGGGATACTTATTTTAGATTAGAACCCTAACTAAAGGGCCATTGTCTTGAATAAGCCCTACCAAAATCTGATCTCAGGGACTGTAAGAAAGGGAACACGAAATACAATATATGTCAACAGACCAGGAAAACTTCCAACACTACTTAAGTTTCACTGGAAAGCAGACTGATATCCCAAGGGGAGGGGGGGCAGGGTCAAAGAAAGAAATCATGTCATAGCTACAAGATTAGACAGACCCAATTTGGAATTTAGGTTCTACAATTTTCAAAGGCATGACCTTGGGAAGGTTACTTCATCTCTCTAAACCTCAGTTTCCTCATGTATAAAGTACAGAAAATAAAAAGTTACCACAACCAAAACCCAGATCTTGGTTTCTAATGGTGGTGTTTTAGTCGCTAAGTCATATCACACTATTTGTGACCCTATTGACTGTAGCCTGCCAGACTTCTCTGTCCATGGGATTTTTCCAGGCAAGAATACTGGAGTGGGTTGTAATTTCCTTCTCCAAGGGATCTTCCTGACCCAGGGATTGAACCCAGGTCTCCTACACTGCAGGCGGATTCTTTACTGACTGAGCTACCAGGGAAGCCTGGTTTCTAACACTATTCTCCACTAGGAGGAAACAGGAGTCCTCAGAAAGATGGCTAATTTCAAGGGTGGGGCGAGGACTATCGAATTATGAGCCTGGAGCACCTTGCAGTGTCAGAAAGTAAGAAAATGCTCCAAAAAAACCAAACAAGGGTGAGGGAATGCCAAAGGGATGTAAGAGCCGACTGAAAGAGCTCCCAATGGCCAAAACTGAGATCATTTAATCAACAAAATAAACAATGTGGTATTGGATTATAACCAAAAGTATAAAATAAATATCCTTGAGTCCATAGTGATATAAATAAATGATTGAATAAATAAATGGGAAAGAACAGGCAAATCACTCACATGGAAAAATTCCAAACAATTCATGTAGCTTCTGCCCCCTCAGACATGGGCTATGCACAGAGATTTTCTTCTAGAATATACTATTGTGGCAAGGAGGTAGGGGGTGGGAGAAAACCACCTTTTTTCCAGCAGAGAAAACCTGACAAACACTACTTCAGCCAGGAGTTCAAGCAGCTTAACATTATCAGTGGTAAATCATGTTGAGAGCAGGCACTCTTTTTTTCTTTTCTCACACTGCACAATTTGTGGAACTTCCCCAACCAGGGATCAACCCTGTGCCCACTGCAGTGGAAGCCCAGAGTCTCAACCACTAGACCAGCAGGCTCTCTTGGCTACAATGTGGCAAGAATGGCACTTTACCTCTAC